ATAATCAGTATCACAACTGGAGTCAATTCTGATTAGCGAAAGAGTATTAGTCATTCACATATGTCGAAATATTGCATGCTCAACGGCGTCTACTGTATATTTTAATAAAGCATTATTTTCTATCAAACGAGTACAGACCGTATATTCCGTTGCATTTTTTCTATTTAATATATTTGTATTACTAATGAGGGCATTGCAAATCGATGAGAAAAAGGCATAGTAATTAAGTAGTCATTTTCTTTTACAGAGCATACTTGGCAGACGACTAGAAGGAAGCTCGCGAAAAAGCTGGCACCACGCTGTGACTGAAACATCTTAGGATGAGGTTGAATGACAACTAATCTCACGACCCTGACTGAGTAATTCCTTCGATTCGAAAACACGTATGAATTTCGGTGGGCACTTCGTGAGACAGAGAATCTACCGTAGAGCCATGACAGGCAGTCACAGAACGACCCGCACTATAAACAGGATCAAAATACCGAAAAAGACAAAGGACCTCGGGATGGTTACTTCTGTCCTGTTGACCATAACGGACGATTAGTAGCGAGACTTGGATGGTCGCTTCTGGCTCATTAGCCATCATCAGCCAGTTATACCCAATTCTCAGTGGTGTAGCAACCGAGGCTCAAACCCACGACCTGATAATTCGCAGTCTAACGTTCAAACCGTTATCTTGTAAGTTTGGATATGGCTGGCTGATAATGGCGAATGACCCCGAAATGGCCATCTCAATCTCCCTTGCCTTTGTCAGTAATGCTCACGTTAAGCATTTTTCGTCAACTTCTTAGTTAACCCGAATGATGCATGCTCATGCTCCATGCAGACTTTTTACTTAATAAGAAAGAGGCAAGTCTTCGGGTTAAGGTGGTTGCTCTTGTCCAAAATAAGGCTAGGAACGGAAAATGTCCCAGACCGTCCCGAGTAATTTGCCCTCTCACCTCGAATGTACTTTTTTGTTAATTGTCACAAGGCAACAAGACTTATTATCAGACAACTTCTGGTTTGCAAGAATAATAAAATTAATAACATACGTGGTCGGTGGTACGTCCTTCAGACCGAGGGCGCGTTCGTACTCATCCAGTGAAACCCGGCCGTCGCCATCTCCATCGAACAGATCAAGGAATTCCTAAACGCAAAAGGAGACAGCAAATGCTGAAGACTTTTGCGATAAAAATGCAAGCACTAATGCTGTGAATGAGGGAAAATAAATGCATTTTTGGCAGAACATCATCAATCGTTGACCAGAAGATTTAAATTGGCATTCAATAAAATACAACTAATAACAGCTTTACGACAGACTTAAGTACGAAGATTAGTTCCACAATTGAGGGATCCTTTGCTGCGGCAAGTGCGTAAACTGCCAACGTTACACAGATCTCAGTCCAAATAAGCGTGTATGTTATCAGTATATTACGAGATTTATCTGGACTATCATTTCTTTTTGTAAGTATTTCGTAGAAATTAACCTTCCATTAAAATTTCTGACATTCGGTGATGACTTTGCTGGAGAATAGCTCTCCAGCTCTCATGTGTGTTAGTTTTATCGATTTTTCTTAAAAATTTGACCAGCTATTTCGTAGATATTTTATTATCATATACTGCTTGGGAGAGATCTCAATGACAACATGGAATAATTCTAAAAATGGTGCTCAAATGTATGTGTACCCATAGGCCGACTACCTGAAAGTTTCAAAAATGCAGTTCTGTGGATTTTGCAAACGAAATTATTATTGTATTCCAAAATACTTTTCAATTGGTATTTCGAAATCTCCAGGTGTGATTTTATTTTCACTCCACGCCGTGCTTTCGGATTTTATAAATCCTATCAAAATAACACTCTATTCTGTTCCCTCTTAGTGCTATCTTCGGCGGCATTTAAATATGAGATATAATAAGAAATACGTGCTCATACAGGGAATGGAGGTAAGTAGGTCACTGAGGTAGTAACTAACCTGCAGAATTACGGACAGGTTCTCCAAGACATCCCAACATATACTATCATAAGGAGAGAAGTTGGACTTTAGATTTATTTTGCCGTACTGATTGTTTCACTACTGTTCGTGTAATGAATCCATAAAATCCAATTGTTCAGGCACTTTGTACAGGAGACAAAAACTCGCAAGAGCAACCTCGACTGGTTCTGACGTAGCATACTGATGAGAGCAATTGCACCAAGATCCTGCAAGTTTAACCATATATTTACTTGGCTGAGGAAGCCGGTCTTGTGCGCGCAAAAGAACCTCCTGCAAGCTTGGCATATCCAACGGTTACATAACTGCCTGCATTTTCCCGCACTTCCTCTCTCTCTTTCATCCTCTTCCCTGTCCGGTTTTAACAAACCTTCACTGCCGCGCAACCAGCCCCATATTATCAACTCCCAAACCCCTCTACTATTTCCATGACTAATTTGCCTGTAATGATGAACGCAATTGCCCGTATGTTTCGATTTTACCCCTTTCCCATATAAATGTAATGGCCCGATGACAGGAAGACTATACGAGTGGTGGTGCCTAATGGAATGAAGTAGGATTTCATACCCGCTCCCATCCCCTTTAGTCTCCTGTTTACCGCCCCGCTAATGGACACCTACTGTGGGGAGGGATCGGCAAATAATACAAACTGCCGAACAGTCAGCAACCGCTATGTGACTGCCTGCGCGGGCTTTAATTGTGAGCTCCAGGGCGAAGCGGAACTTAATTGTTTCTCTACCAGATCGGTGAAGCCCATATACTCACCATATTCCCGATCTCAACTGATAAAACAACGAACCCGTGCTGCAATGGCAGAGTGATAAACTCAATGACCAAAGGTCCCGGGCTTGAATTTCGGGGGTTCCAGCCCCTGAGATTGGGCATGGCTGGCTGATGACGGCTAACAAGCCAGAAGTGACCATTTCGGTCTCCCTTTGTTTTATCGGACCCATTTTATTCAGCAACCTGTTCGGTATCCGCCGCCTGAAAGCATTTTTATTCAAGGCAAGTGTTGGGGACCTATTTTTGCGGATGACTGCG